ATCAGGCTATGTCACAGATGGCATATAACCCCTCCCTGCCCCCAAACTAACCATTTGCAACATAAAAATGAAACATTTTGGAAAAAAGTCTATAATTCTTGATAATGATTTGTAATATGTAATATGGTTGAACTTTCCAAGTATTTCAATGACTGTCCAATAAAGGGTTTAAGGCTCTACTAATATACAATACATGACTGCAATAAAATGCAGTATTTGAATGACAGACATTACAATGTTGACATGATATATAGGTACTCAAACTCGAGAGAAGGAAGTGCTCAAACACCACTAAAGCTGCAATGTGAAGGAATATGTGTGTCCCATTGTTCCCAGTTGGAATGAGGTTTGGCAAAGTGCCTGGGAACTCCTCTGAGACCAGAACTGTAGCACAATAATGTTTACCATTCCTGGATGGCAGCGCAGACACAAATATGATGTCTTACAATGCCTATGGAATCAAAGAACATGTTATTGCTTGTTTGCATTCATAAAAGCATGTAAAGCTTTGCCTGTGCAGTCTCCCCAGCTTCCACATATATTTCCAATCTCTGCTGCATCACTCTCAGAGTATAAAATATCCTTTTGTGGTTGCCATTAACATTCACCCAGGAAGCTCAATCAGTAGCCAATTCTGGTTTTCCCTCCTTTTTGTAATTAGGCCCCAGGCCTTGTTTGGGGTAGGCTTGTGCATTCTGGCTGAGAAGACATGCTGAGAGGGGATTTGTGGTTTGGGAAGCCTGGGCTGGAAAGAACAACTGTCTGCTGGAGCCAACGACTTGCCCCCTCTCCGATTTGACACATGCCCTACACTGTGACAGACTTTGCAGACAGGATACAGCCTCAACATGTGCACAGTCGAGACCTCTGCCAGAGAGCCTGGAGCTGAGAAGCCAGCGCAACAACCAGAAAGGAGTGCGGAGGCCGCAGAATATCCTCTGGAAGAAGATAGCAGCAGTCTGGAGCCTCCTGGTCAAGAGGCTTTGGAGTACAAGAATCGCCTGAGGCCAATAGTTTTAATTCCACGGGCAAAAGTTCCTCATATTGTTGAAATTACCACATAGTCTCGCTTGCATGTGCGCGCAAACTCAAGCTGACACAAAGGCATGCCTGCACATTGTCCACACATTCATAATCACACTTTCATAACCACACATTCTCGTCTTCTTTCCCTCTCTCACACACTCACATGCTTTTCTCAGGGATGTTCTCTTGCCTTGAGAGGAAATTATTTCCCAGCATTGATGCCCTTGGAGAAAAAATTAACTTTGCATTCATGCCGGTGCAATTGTGTACAGGAAAAATAAAACAGAACCAACAAGGAGACATTGTGCAATAGGAGCCAGAGAAAAAAAGTTTTTCCAGATTACACCACTAGTTCATAAGCAATGCTTGCAATGTATTATGTATTGCAATCCCTTCAGTTTTAAATGTAACCATCTCGCCTCTTTATCAGCATGTATTGAAGCAGTTCTTGACTATGTTATGCAAATGGGTGAATGAGATGCTTTCAGCTGGATCTAAGTAAAAAAAATAAAAACTGCTTTGATGAATATACGCGTGTCAAACATTGTGCACAAAATGAATTTCATTGCAAAAACAGCATTATATTGACATGACAAGCCAAGCAGATCTATGCAAATACCACAGAATTAAGGAAAGTCATTTATTGCAGTGTACACGTGTTAATATTCAAAGGTAACTGAGATGGAACAAAGCACTCAAAGTTGCAGATTATTGTAAATTTTGCTAATTGAGCCCCGGATGGCCAACTGCATGAAAGACATCTCATTGCAGGTCTTTAAGTTAGGTACTACTTGACAGATCCATCTTAAGCAATCCAGCTACTTACTTCTTCTGCATTAAGTGTGTTTGGAGAGCCAAACACACTTAAACACAGCTTCACAAAAAAAGGAGCGGGTCAGGTCGTCCCTGCTGTTGGCCAAAACACTATCTCATCGCCAAGCCCGGCTGTGTGACTGGACAGGGCTGGATTTAGCACTGCATGCCTCATCCATCTTTGGCACTTCCAGTCTCTCTCCCTAAATCAGACAAAGATGGATGAATTTGCAGGAAGCATCACTCCTTCTTTCCATTCACTCCCTCACCTTGGGAAAGTTACCCTGCTCCACTTTCTGCATTTGTCTGCCCCTTACCTACACTCATATTTTTTTCTCGTCTCCTCTACTTTGGTCTTGCACAGTCACTCTTCTTACATTCTTACTCTTGTCCCAATCCCATGGTCTTTTCCACAGGCTAGCTCCTTGCCCTTTAAATGCAGTATAACATTATTCAACTTGTTAAAATACTAGACAACTTCAAACAGTTGTGCATGGTCAAAACTTTTCTTTAGGGGTTGTTGCCAGAGAAATGTAGTTAACATTCTTGCATTTTAGCTAAAACCATTTTTTGACTTAATTTTGTTGTGTAAACGTAACCAAACTGCAACTGAAAATATAATAGAAAAGGGTCAATCTTGCTACGTGTTCCTGTGGCCTCCCGTGCCAACGGGCACAAGAATGGCATCATGAACATTTGGCAGCATTATCTGGCATATTTCCATTTGCTAGTTAGCATCATATATATTGTATAGCTGTTGGGAACATCATTAGATCAGTGCTTAGTTATAATGAAAGTATGTGACAACTGATACTTCAAAATGAATGGGGCTGTCCATTCAAGTGGTCAAGATTCGGGCTAAACACCAAAAATGTAAACCTCATAATGGTGTTACAGGAAAACTCGAGGGATCCCCAATGTCATCAAGCTTCATCCTCTGGGAACTCTCCGTGTTTTTGCAACATGTTGTTCCAGTTCTTCCAGCCAGTTACTATGTCAGTCCCAGTGTTGCAATAGCAAAGGCCATCGATCACCGGTGTCAGTGGGCTTATCGTGTGGGTATGATGAATATCTTAAAAAGAAAACGTCACAGCTAAAAAGCTAACTAAACCCCAACATTTTTATCTGCTTTTGTTTTTAAAAGAAAATTGTGGGAATCATCCAGTGTCTATCATTGAAATCCATCCAAGAGTTTTACAAATATATTGTTCAAAGTGGGGGCATTTGATGAGCATTGCCATTCAGAGTCATACACTTGGGTTACCAAAAGAAATTTTGTTAAAACTCTTATGCGCATCTTTCAATCTTAGGGGGCACATTTTTCATATCTGACAGTGCTTTAATGGTTTACCAGCAAGCATCTTGCCTTTGCCCAAGCACTTGATGGTCACAAAACAAACAAAACGTGTCGTGTAATAAAAGTAATATTACTTGAGAAATAACCTAATTCAATCTTTGTCATTCAGTGCAAGTGTTAATTGTAAATCACTGTCATCACCCCAGCTTTTGATGAATAGGCTGATCAGGCACAGTTCTTATCCAGTCCTCATAAGCTCCTCATCCTCAGGCTCATCCTTTTCAGCTAACCTGACCATTGTAGAGCAGCCAAGGACAAGCAAACCCTTTCCAAGGGCTAATCTCCCAGAGAATCCAGGATTATGAGCAGCACTAACAGTGAATTCACTATACACACCAGGCTGAGCCAGCAGCTTAGAGGGATTAGAAGGTTCTCTCCTCAAGCTTTAGGATCAGGTATGCACTAAAGTCATGCTCCTAGACCCTAGACCACAGGGAGAAAACACTGATGAGCAGGTGCTTCTGTAGAAGTGATGCTAAGATTTAGTCTGACTTAATACAAGCACACGCCAAGATTCTGTTTTCCTTGACTCTACAAGGATATGTTTGGCCCGCACAGCTGAACACAAGGAAAAGATTTATCAGATTCATGACTGTTAAATGGTGTGTAACACGGTTTTTCTTCCTCTACAAATCAAGGTTGCAGACAGGCTAAAAATAACATTACATACAGGTTAAGGTTAGTGCATGACATTCACAGCCTCTTTCCAATGTATGTCACTCACTGCTGTATTGCAAAGGCTTTACCCAAATTCTTCATCTAGACTACAGATGGCACTGTTGCCTCAGTGTGGCTAGACCTGAAGACCTGTATCTCATAATGATAATAATGACTTCAAACACACTGATTGACAACCTTTATTCAGCTTTTATAAGTTCATAAATGACCTTCTGAAGTACTGAAATATTTACATGGGCGCATGGGAGCATTAAAAATAAAAATAAATAAATAAAAAAAACACAGCTTCAAATCAAATGACTCCAATTATGCAACTATAAGAGTTCAATTTAGCCTCCGTGCTTTTCCTGTAAAAAATAATTCATGTCCGCATTTTCTCAAATACCCCTTGGTTTTTACCGATTCCATCAGATTGGTGAGAAAAATCAAATGCAGACACGTTCATCCACTGACCAAGGCCAGAGAGTATAAAAAACTTGAGAAAATGGCTTTCCACACTCCCAGCTCTGGGCTAGTTACTCTCTCAGTTTAAACGCTGTCCAAAAAAAGACCATAAACTCGACACTCAAGTTTTCCATCCGCCGAAGAGTGAAATTATGAGACAATTGCCTTGACTTAATAAACAAAAGAAATCGAAGTAACAGCTGACCCCGCACGGGTGAGCAACAACTTGAGGTGCACATTTGGATGGGATTCACATTCAACCATCACAGAACTGAGTGAACGGCAGAAGTAACAAAACTTACCAGAACTAAGATGTTTTTTCTTCCCTTCCTCTTATGAATGCACTCTCTTTATGAACAGTTTTTTTGTTTTTAACAAGATGCCGCATGTTAATGACAGAGTTAATCGCAAGTGTAATAAAGCTGTTTCAACTGCTGTTCAGAGGGGTAACTGAGAAGCAGTGGAATATGTCATACCTCTGATCCTGCTGCTGCCTTAATGACAGATGCCCTTCTTAAATCGTCCAGGACAATTATTGCAGGTGCAAATTTGCCAACAAACAGAAATCCAAAAACAACCTACGTATCCTGCTCTTAAACTGACACAGATGGGTAGAAAATTTATACTCAACTTCTATGAAAACATGTTAAAAGATTAAAAAAAAAAAAAAAAAAAAAAAAAGGGGGGGGGAACAGCTGGTTTATTAAATTAGATTTTTTTTTCATTTACAGATAGAATGGAAACAGACAGTAGCAGACATCAGTGCAGACATGTGGGATCTCTTAAAAATAACATTTACTGTACAGCTTGTTTTTCTCCTGGTTACAGTCATATCATTAATGCAAATGTAGTAATTAGTGATATTAGCTGAACTTAAAAGAACCTAGAAAGGGGAGGACTAGTACAGTCCAATCTGAGGAGACACTTTGTATGTTTGTTAGTAATTTTGAAATATGTGGATTTAACTCACAGGCAGGTGGCAAAATCAATGTGTTTGAGCATAACAAATGTCCTCTTACAGAACCAAACCTGATTAAAAAATAATAATTTCTACAACCGCTCTGGTCACATTGCAAGTCTACTTGAGCTGCCATGTTGCTCCAAGGACAGATGTACACAAGGGCGTCTAGGACATTGTGATCTGCATCGACTCCAGCATCTCCTCCACCGTCTTCATGGAGCATTTGTTCTCCTTGGTCCCACGACCAGCCAACTGCAAGTCAGAGAACAAAGGTGAGTGGCAGAGACAGAGTAAGGGCGGAGAGAAGGGGAAAAAAGAGGACATCAACTCATTAGATCTCTCTGCCAACTAACGTAATGGAGAGCCAAACACACTTAAACACAGCTTCACAGAATCAGAGATAACCTCATCCACCCAGTAGCATGCTTCAACGACTAACCAAAAACATCCTTTTCCCCATTTAGAATGGAGAAGCATAGAAGCAGAAATAATCAGAGACGCAACAGTGGTCATTAAATAGAATTGGTAAATGGGTCGTGCAAAGTAAAATAATACCTCCAATCAGGATTTTTCCTCAACTGTTGCGTAAGTGCCATTTTCATTTTGAGTGCGCTCCGAGACAGGATGCCCACATTAGTCCTCTTCCATGGCCTCTAGTATAGAAGTATGTAACACCCTACTCTAATTTCTGCACTGTGTCCACAGGGTTTTGCAGGAAGTGCTGCAAATTATAATCCGCAGACATGTATCAGATTACTCATGCAAACACACAGAAGCACACACTTTTTCTACCCAATTTAACTTTGCCACGGATAAGGCACCCCCTCAAAAAATACCACTACGGAAGGCGACTTCCTTAACCATCGGCAAGGAACCAGGGACCCAAAATGGGTCAGTTCAATTAACTTTACCTATACAGGCATAGATTTAATTTTGTCTGTAACCATGTCTAAAGAAAGACATACATGGCAAATGATATCAGCTGATAAAAGTTATGTGCCCTGCTCATTTTCACTTAATTGTAGTTACTGTATGTTATGACAATTCTGTATAGTGAACTACAACAGATATGCAGTGAGTAAATCCAGAGTAAACAGTTCTAAGGCTCTATATTCATGTAGTCAGCAGGTTGAGGTCATGCAAAATGTAAAAGCATAATAATAGAATCAAAATCAGATTAACAAAATGCTAATAATCAGCATGTCATTCTTCAAATTTGGCATGTTAGCATGCCAACACATGCTGAAGAACTGCAGTTCCTGAAGGGACCACTTAACGCCATCCCTAAAAGTGAGTCTTGTTTTCAGTAATGAAATTAACATGTTTAGAGGTGGTCTCAGTCTCTTAACAATTATAAGATGGTTAATTTCATATTTTCATAGCTATTCCATTGGGTAATAGCACACAGCCACTTTTACTGACAGTTGAGCTGACACATGCAGCTGTAATCAGTCTGAGCAGTTTAAAAACAAAGTTAGAGAGGTAAGCCTGAGATGGTGTGGACATGTGCAGAGGAGGAACAAAAAACATTGAATATGGTGCTGCCATGCAGGAGGAAAAAAGGAAGACCACAGAGGAGGTTCATGGATGTAGTGAAGAAAGGCATGCAGAGGGCTGGTGTGACCAAAAAAAATGATGCTTGGGATGTTTGAGGAATAACACCGCTAAGCAGATTATTTAAAATTCTACATATACCATAAAGCACTGATTTTTTGCTGTGACATATTTAGTCACTCAACGTTTGGTCCTTCTCAAGCCTCTACAAACAGGAAATAAATGTAGGCTTAACCTAGTCCATACTGTATTTCCATGGTAAAAGCTTTTTCCTTCTCCTTTTGCCAAACTCCAACTTAGAGAGGGCAGTTGGCTAAGGTGTACAATTGGGTGTGTAATTTCCAAGGGTGACTCATTCTTCTAGATTTAGGGTGTGTGTGTGTGTGTGTTTGTGTGGTGGGGTAGCTATAATGATCTGTGCATTTCATTGCTTTGCTGTCTAATGCGCCATTACTCTGAGCCCAGTAGTCAATTATCTCCTCGGCCTGAGGTGAGACCACCACATTAACTCCTGCTCTGCTCTACAAGTAGGAGCAGACTAGACAGCTCCACATCTATTTAGAGCATCTGATAATGGAGTCATGACGCAGTGTGAGCCTCTGGCCGTGACAGAAGAGCTAATCAGAGAATTTGTTTAGAGAGTTAGGAAAAGAGGCCAGGCTATGTAGTACTACTTTCACCCCTGATGGAACAACAACCCACACATCTCCAGGTCTCCTGCACATCCAACTTCACCACAGTAATTACTTTTTTTTTCTTTTTTCTTTTGAAATGCAACCCTGTCAGTCATGACCCCTCACCAATGTCTGCTCCCTCGTCCGCTCACCTGCCCACAGTTTCCTCACACAAAGGTATGACAATCACCAGGTACCGGAGCCTAATAAAAGTGGACGACTGACAAGGGCGACGCTTTAAAGGAGCAATCAATCAGCTAGCACAAGCGCACAGCAGCCAGCAGCTGTCTGATGGAGGGCAACACCGCTGTTCCCTTTTAAAAATCTCAAGAGTCGTTTTACCCGAGGTGAGATCGAAGAAATAAAAGAGGCAACCTCACACCTTGTCATTTAACTCATCTCACACAACAAAGGGAAGAAGGGAAAAAAAAGAAGCACACGTGACACATGGTGGCAGCCAGGTATGCATACACGTAATGTGGTCACACGCTCACAGCTGAATTGAAATCCACACAACTCCACTAGGCAACTAAACAAATACTAGAGGTTGCAGAGCAGGGCAGAAGCAGAGGGCTGCGATGAATCTCACATCATGCTCCCTGGAGGACAAAGGTGTGACTGACTGAGGTGTTTCATTATCGTCAGCACAGGGTCAAAATCACACATAATCTAGCTTTTACACACTTGTCCAATGGCCTTTAAGAGTAGCTACTACTTTAGCCTGCTATTACAACTTGGCCCAGAGTATTTTCATGTTGGCCATTATTTTTTTTTAAGCACATTAAATCCCTGGGAAAAAATATAAATTGTTACAGAACTGGTCAATTCAGAAAAAAATACACCAAAGATTTTTTTTCTTCCTATAAAACTAATGAGAATAAAAACTTTATACAGTTAGGCACTATGAAAGTGTATCATGTACCCAAACAATCAATTTCTTTCATTAGCTATATTACAGATGTGTTTTCTGTCTCTGATTAAAGCTTTTAACACACTCCTCGTTATGCTACTGTGTAACAACATTTAAAAACTTACTGGTAAAGCCCAATAAGATGCTATTTTTCTTAGGAATGAGAAGTTCCAAGAATATACAGTTTCACTATTTAAAAAAAAACAAAAAACATCAGTGCTGTTTTCTTATTTTAAGTCTTAGATATATGAAAAATGCTATCAGTGTGGGATATTCATCTTTTCCCCTGCTAAGATCAAAGCTTTTCTAAGACAGGATAAGGTCAGTAAGCACAAAAATCAAAGTGAAAAGTAGTATGCACTTGACATCAGTGAAGACATTCTACATTGACTAAGCCAGCTCAACATTTTTTAAATTTATCAAGACATTCTGCAAATATAAAAGTGCTAATCTAAACCAAATAAGCTGTACCACTTCAATGACAGCTCTTCTATTTTTATTTTATTTCTATTCTTTTTTCACTCAAATCAAAGGCATGTGGCAAGTGACAGCTTAGAGCCGTTTTGTGACACTTCTGCAAAAAAGTTCACCATCATGTTACATGCACACTTTTTCCAACAGAACTGTCAGACTGAGGGCTCAACATGTGAAACGTGTCTATAAGGCAAGTAGAGTCAAATGTGGTGAGACAAGGTCTTTAGAGGCTCAGCAGGAAGCCTCACTCAGCTTCTGTAGGACCCACAGAAGCTGAGTGAGGAACCACTTATTACATTACAATCGTTTGGTGCCCAAATAAAAAACACATCTGGCAAGTATGGCAAATAATCTTTATGCTTTCGTACTTTGGTTGCCAGGACGACACTGTAAACCATTTTAGTGATACCATCTGACAAACTCCTTACTTTTGCCCCTTCCTTGCTAAAGCAGCAAATACATGCATGCATGTCCACCTCATCCTTTATTAACCTTATTTATGGCTTTCTTTTTATCTTTCTCTCTCTCCCAAATTTTGCTCTCTACAGTAATAGGGCAAAGCAAATACTTAATGGAAGACTGGCTCACAGGGAAGACTGAATCTGTTTGTAAAATATTAAAACAGCAGCCAGTTAAACACTGGAACTGAAGAAATCAGACAACATTCGTAAACGGTTTTTGGAACTGCTATGAACCTCCTACACTTTTCCTCAAATCCAGCTACGGGTCACTATATCCCACTTTGAGAAAGACTGAAGTAGACTACTCTCACGCTATAGTTTAGTGTTGTCCTCTGAGAATCAGCTTGTGGCTCTGCAAGAAGCTCATCTGTGAAGCCAGTTTGCAGGATAAAGTCTTAGCAGACGCTGTGGCCTTAAGTCAACACATTAACAGTAAATGTACCCAGACACAGTAAAAGACGTCAGGGCTGTTATTACAGCCATGCAAGTCAAAGGCATCCTACAGGACTGCTGTGCATTTAAGGGTCAATACTGGGTGGTGAATACTTTTCACATTCTATGCAAATAAGGGGGGTTTTAGGATCTCTGAATATTGTGTGCAAATACTCCATGAAAGCTGCAACATAGCAGAAAAGTCTGATCGGTGGTTTTCAGTGTCTGGTAGAGTGAAGATTGATGTGGGGGAAAAATGTTTTTCAGCAGGAAAGAGACACCAAAGAAAGAAAAATTAAAAGCTAGGTGCACTCACATCACATTAGATTAAAGTCTATTTGTAACTCACCTTATAGGCTCTATTTATTTGAGTGGCAGCCCAAGCAGCATACTTCATGTTGTCCTTCTTCACCTTGGCACTAACTTTAGGACTGGCAGCGATGTGACTTGCAGACTAGAAGGAAAAAAAACAAGATGGAAGGAAGATGCAAAGGAGAGAACAGGGGAAGGGGTGTTCTTATATCAAAACTTGGTGAAACAGCAATAAAAGCGTAATGGAGATGAATGTGCAACCACTCTTACCATCTACCACTCCACTAGTCATTGTGGCAGAATGAAGAGAAAAAACAGACCTTGGCCTGATGACACAGGGGAAATCATTTACGGAGAGGAAAAAGTGAGCATTTTAATGCTTCATACGTAAATTGTCACTTAACAGGGCCTAATTTCTCCAACACCATTGATTCCCGCCGATGAAAGGACCTTGTATGTTTTGAAAAAAGCCTGACGTGCAGTGAAAGGAGCGCCATGTGAATCACGGTCTCTGCCTGCCCCGACAGCTCCCCTCCGAACCACAAATCCCATGTCTTTCCCATGTTCCTGCCATCATCTCCACGCAGCAAACCCCAGAGGGCTTACCCTGCCTGCACTTCAAAGCCCAACCTACCAGTGTGCTGAAACTTTAGCTACGCACCAATCAACCTGGCCCTATTTTTTTCTTCTGTAAAATGGTTTGGCTTCTGTATTTTTTTAGTAAGCCTTTTTTTTATTTCTATTTTTTTTAACTCAAGAGAAACCTCAATTTAGATGATGTCAACACAGACAGGCTATCCCTGAATAACTGTGTGCACGACTGTGGAGGGGAATCCCCAAGTGAGTGGTGTAAGTTACCAGTCCACAACCAGTCTGTGGTCAGTGCTACCAGGTCTTGTGCCACACTGACTCAGATGGTGTAAGATGGTGAAAGTTTTCCCTTATGTTGAACTTGCACCTGTCACTGTTTGGACCATTGAGGCTAGCTGACAATGTGCAAAACACATTAAGACAGTTCTTTAACTACTACAAGAATAAATAACCACCTCAAGTATCCTTTAAAGACCCAAGGGTCTTTGGATGATATATTAAAAAAATAATAATAATAATCATGAAAAAAGAAAACCTGCTCTCTCGCCAGTCAGACTTGAGAATTAGCAGGACTAAATGTCTTGGATCTGACCTTCACTGCTCCTCTTCTAGACCTGTGATGTTTCAGAGGGTGTGGGTTGCTGTGAGGTGTTTGGACTAAATGAAGAATCCCAGTCCAGAAAACAGGAAAATACCAGGGCTCGCTGCGTAAAGAGCTGCTTCCACTTTCTGCCTATTGCTCCCTGCATTGCTTTGTTTGTGTTTTTATGTCAGGTCTCCCTTACGTATGATACACTGGCACTAGCACACAATATCCTGTTTAAACAAATATGTAGATGAAGGGGCTATCTGGCCAATATTCCATTTAAACTGGAACCTGATTGGATAATTTGCCAGTGCAGTCACAAAATACTGGCAACAGCTGTGCTGCTCTCTTCCTTATGCTTTTCTCCTTTTTAGCCCATAACTACTTTATTTATTCAAGTCATAAACATGAAAAAGTCTCACCAAGGGGGTATTATTACTAAAATAAAGGGCTCCAGAGGGGCAGGCTTTTCCAGTGCTGGAGTTCACCGTCTGAGTCAGCAGCGAGCTGACCCGTCTGAGAGCTCTCCCCAAAAACATACACATACACACACACACACACACACACACACACACACATACAGATAGAGAAAGTACAGTCTTGACACACTGTGGCCAGCCTCAACCTTGAAAAACCACAGCGTTACAAAAAAAGGCTCAACCACTGTTGTATTTCTTTCCCACTTTCTCTTCATTCAAAGCAGCACTCACCATGTACAGACCAAACAATGCCCTCATGTTTCGGTTATTCAGCCTCAGCGCCTGGGCAAAATACTTCCTGGACAGCTCCAGGTTTTCCAGCCCCCCCTGAGTGTACTTCACCTGTGTGAGGAGGCATTAAACACAAGCAACAAGCTGTGTTAAAGGGCAGCTCAAGCAATGACAACATGACATCTGAATAAACAACATATGACCAGCTCTGTATTTGGTGACAGACATCCAGGTGGTTACCTACCTCAGCGTACTGCTCACAGTACAAGTGATTGTGAGGATTGATCATCATCAGCTCCTCCAGGCAAAATGCAGCTTTTCCATAGCTGTGGAAGCGACAAAGAAAACAGTAAGCTTGATACAGCTGTGGATGTGTCATCCTTTAGGTTGTTCAACTGTGAAGCACAACGGGTACGCTCAGTAAATTCACAGGTCTGAGATGAGACTGCACAGGGTACACGTCATTTCACAGGTGACAGACTTATAATATATAAAGGCCCACCAGATGAGAGGTTTATTCACACACTTACAATAAAGGGTATTCGGTCTAGACAGCTTGCTAAGGTAAAAGCCTATCTAGTGTGGTGATTCTTCCTCCACTGGGGACACTGTGTCCATCTGTGTGTTTTTCCTGTCTTTAATGTGTAGTTAACTACCTTCCTGAGGTCAGCACTACAGTAAGAGCTGGCACACTGTGCCTATACTCAGATGAGATCACTTCTCAGCAGCAGACTGCTGAGCTGTTGACCTCACACTAATCTGCTGCCACTCCACTTCTAATACACAGTTTCCCCCCCCTCACAGGACCAGGCCAAGACAAGCTAAGATACAGTATATCATTGGACACAAAGCCATAAAACGTCTGCACACCTAACCAAATGCAAGCTAGCACATAGGCACACAGCCGAGACAGAGCAGACCTATCAACAGAAAATGGGCAAAGTTTTGTAGTCAAGCCTTAATATCTTAAGGAATTCTGTATTTTTATTTGCCTTTCAAGATTTTACATATAACTTAACAAACTTTATCAAAGAATAAGCTGAAAAACCAAAATCTTGCTTGTGTGAACAGGCTTTTACCCTGTTAAAGACTTTTCTCAATTTTCTCACTTCATAAAAAAAGCAAAATGCAAAGACGCATTTTGCTTTTTTTATTGCTTTTGTGAGAAATTAAATGATCCGACTGATGCTTGAAATAACATGAAAAACTTATCAGTATACCTGAAGTCTGCCATGGTAACTAGCTGAAAAATTAAGAGCATAGGAGCTAAAGAAAGGTGGGGACACAGAAAGGAGAAAAAAAACAGTGGAAAGGGGCTGAGTAGAAAGGGAGATCAGAGGGCTTGGGAGGTTGGGGGCTGCTTACAATTACTACTTCCTCTCCATAAAGACTTTCAGATGTGCTCGTGCAATAGCTGTGGCCTACACCAGAGCCTGCTCCATCAGGCTTGTACTGGAGCCAAATTTGTACCTCTTCTACTCTTCAACGAAAGCTTCTAACCCAATGTGCTCTTTATGGCAGCTTCTAAGCTCCCTCTACACCACAGTGCTTGAGCGAGGGTAGTGTCACCATCATGTGTGAGACTCTGTATTTATTTCTTTTGGAGGTTAGTAAAACCATCAGCAGTGGCGTACCCCCATTTTAATACCACATTCTGACATTGGACAAAAATGGATTCAAAGTATGCTTGAAAAAATTATTACTATTTATCCTGCAATTTTGGATGACCAGTCCAATTTGGTTGAACAGGCTCATAACTTGGGTCAGAATGAGAGCCAGCAGCAGATTCCAACAGTGGCTATGAGCAATACTTGCAACAGACAAAATAATCTCCTGTCTAAACATCAGCGGCATAAGGATTGTTTTAACAGTGTCAGCTCAGAGGCTATTAATTACATTCTTAATCTGTTAATGCTGTCTACTACAACCCTAACAGCAGCAAGGCAGAGACAGACTGCTTTGTTTATTTTTAGCTTCCAGGGTGTTGTGCAGTGAGGGGAGGAGAGTTTATTTCTCTTGCTTTGCTTCTCCATCAACTTCTGTTTTCTCTAGTGGCAGGGGGGCGGCTAAAGTGCCACCACCTTCTCCTGGGAATTTCACAGCAAGTGTCCTCTCCCTCTGCCTCCTGATCTATCCCTGTGGAAAAGAGTGGTGATAATGCCTCACTATCCGGAAGAGGAGGAGGAGGGGAAACAGGGAGTTTGTAACCCAAAATAAAGAAGACAAAGAAAAGAAATTGACACGCCTGTAGATAGAGGGCTGTGGGAGTGAATGGTGTGATATTAGAAGTGTTGGGATAAGCTTGGAGATAATCCGCTCACCCTAGGATTTCCTCTGGCTACTACAGCAATAAAGCCTCCCAGACAAAGCATGAAATATCCAATAAGTAGCCTTCTCACCGTGCTACACATTCCTGCTGCTGCTGCCTTCCTACCAGAGCAACAGAGCAACAACAGTCAAGTCTCTCTCTCTCTCACACACACACACACACACACACACACACACTTAAAAGAAATGTTGTTAAACTACAGACACCGCTTGACTAACTTCTGAGCCCCAGACAATTAAGGAAGGATGAACAGTGACACAAACAAAATTATTTTTTTCTTACAGTGCTCTTGTCTGTCTGGCAGTTCTCCCTGGCAACTGAGATATCAGGCTGGGGAGTCTTTCTGCTCTCATATGTAGGAGTGGGGGCTTAAGCCTGAAATCCTATTAAACCAGTCTTATGTGGCAAACTCAGCCAGGGTTCTATTCAGACCCCTGGCTGAGTTAGGCATCTCAACGCCTTCCATTGTGGCCATCCAACGGCCCTTTGGAGATCAAGCCATCAGAATGATGCGAAGTCCTGACACAAGCAACCCAAACATGAAGCAGCTGTACCAAGTCACTTTTTATCTGATAACCTTGACACGACAACTCACACTCAAACAACAATTAAATACCACAATTTTGCTACACAAGATGTCTAGATCAATCCATGTGCATTTGTTAATAAACTATGATGAACCCTGTGTGCCCTGTGTTAGCTGTTACAACATCACATATTGGAGAATCCTTTATCTAAAAGAAAAGGGTTTGTTTATGCTCCAACTGTATAAAACAATACATCAGTTTGATCATAATGACCATACCAAATGTTTGACTTGAATGGTGTTTGGATTTGGGTATTGTAACTGCAAAGGTGGGTCCAGCTTTTTAAAGCTGTACATAGAACAGGCACATGAAAAAGTATATATACAAGGAAATTTGGCTCTGCTTTCAGGGAAGTCAATACTACAATAGTTTTGGTTAAAATATAAAAATGGATTTACTCATGTTCGTTGATGTAGAGCTCTGACAGCTCATGCCATGCTTCCTGGTCTCCAACAAACCTGTAAGCAAATACTGACATTAAATTCTCTTCCTCCAGAGGAGTAAAACAATAAATGAAACTAACATATTAAAGAAAAAAATATTAGGATTAAGCAACCACTGTGTATTATAATAACAATGACAGTCTTGCAGTTGACAGCGTTTGTTGGCATTTTATGCTCAAATCATGCCAGCACTCTTGAAAGCAGGTTCGTTTTTAATTAAAATAAAAATCTGGGGAGATGAAGAGAAGGGGTGGCTGATCCCCCCTTGTACCAAACACTCACTGCTCCAAATACTCATTGAGCTCCCGGATGGCTTCAGTGCTCTTCCCCTGGGCCTTCAGTATGGAGATCTTGCGCTTCCTTGCTGCCTATAGAGCAGAGTGTAAACAGGATTAGGAACTCAGCTTCTCAAGTGGTTGAGAGGGTAAAGAGCATGAGGGAGTGTAAGAGTTGTGAGTCTAAGTGTTTCACTTTTCAGTGTACCACAAGCTTTCTTAAAGTTCCATTATGACAATGAATCATTTTCTATAAGAAAAAACTGCACTTTCTTTCCAAAGTAACAGCCACAGAGTCAAAAAGACAAGACTCTGTCAAGTTAACTTTGTTAAGTTTATTCATATTATTACTGCGGGACTTTAATCATAATTGGAGATAGTTAGCGACCATGTCCAACGGGATACGGACAGACATTATGAGTCAATGTTTGGAAGTTGGAATGAGCTCAGTGGCTGAGATAAAGTGGTGAGTCATCCCCTAACCAAGTGGGGAAAATGGCACACTCCTCCAAACCCCAACGCCTGTCTTCCTGCCGGCACAGCACACATCTAGCGCTGCACCAGCCTGACTTACATCAGCTGAAAATTGCTTTCCGCTTCATTTTGATGTTGAATTGACCTTAAGGTGGATTAGATTCTCATCAATCTGAATTAGAAAGTATTGCCCTGACTTTTCCAAATGTTAAGACTCCCCCCAGACCACCTCCTTCTTCTCCTTTTGATAGTAAGTGAAAACCTTAACAGGGGCTGCTGCTCCATTAGGAGTGCACTGCCCTGCCACAGCTTATTTTATTTATGGACTGGCACTTGATTGAGTGGGGCTTCCTCTCATAACCAAAGCCATTGAGGGCTGTGTATGAGTCATGTCTAGGGGCTGTAAATCTGGGTCTCCTCTGACAATGCCATCGTAAGAAATCCACTTATCCATCAAGCTGGGACAAAGACCTGCTGACACACAGCAGCTTTAACCGAAAAAAATAAATAAAAGGAGCGCTGTGCAACAAGACATCATCGTCATAAAGGAAATAAATATTTTAACATAAGCAGAAGGCAGGCAAGTTGAGAGAAAATTAACATTTCATGAATTTATCAACCAGCAGTGAACCGTGAATGGCTAATTATTTCCCTTTAATACCTTCTTCTTTAATAAGGCTGGATGACTGCACATCTTTGAGCTGCAACCTATTGTTCAAGAAGCTAACAAGACAGATGAAGAATAGTGTCCTGAAATTCTTCAAAGGAGAGAGATGTGGTCACTACAACTGGTCAGCACTTTCCCAATAAAATCTGAGAAGAGATAAGAAGGCCGGCCCTCTTCTCTCGAGTTGGAGTGACACGCTTTTGTATCCATACAGCAACATTGTGCATCACAATTCTATTGCCTACCTGTATTCAGACTATTAAAACAAAGAGGGCGCCAATTTAATCTGCAGTCTATCATGAAATTAGAATTTATACTCACTTCAGATTAAAGATACAAGTAAGATCTTTCCTCATCACACACCCACTTCTCTCTGCCCCCCCCCCCCCTTTTTTTTTTTCTTGGATAAAGAACATCTTTGGGCTCAAAACAACATATGGAACTTGTTGCTCTGAAAAGTCATAGCACTTTATTAAACATAAAGTAACTCCAACCTACTCCTCCCTGTTCTTTTCTAGCTACTGATCCAGAAAAAAAACAAAAACCTGGCATTTGACTATCTGATCCCTCTGTCGTTATGACTCTTTTTTAATTAATGTTCTGAGGACACTCAAAGAGTACAGACTAGCATATTTGTGTCAACACTGCACCATGAGTTGACCTACAGCATTCGTTCCCTTTGATGAGACATGAACACACAACACAGGTGGCACACTTAGCACACTGGACATGTGTGAAACAGGTTAAAAATGTATTTTATGCATTTATTTATTTATTTTTCCCCACAGGTATGTTTGCACCCATACACAGCAGATTATTTAAGTTACAATCGAATCCTTTTTTAAAGTCTGAAAGTCAAACGCTTCCAAGAGTTTTCAGAGTATACTTCACATTTATGTGGTCAATAAACATTGACGTGAGGCTTTAAACTTCACATTGCTTTTCCCGCACAAATAAACTCTTGTCTAGCAATGAATCTCTAATTGCATATGATTGTGGGTCAACCTCAGAAGTCATCTGTGTGACCTCAGCGGCTTATTTAAGAAATACTAGCTTTTTATATTGAACAATTAGGGTGAAATGAGAGCGTTGGAATTTAATATTAACGTAATCACTAAGTCCACTCATTTTTAAACAAATCCTAAACTAGCACATCCTTTTTTGCAAATGCTGTTTGCACCACATAATCTAAAATACTCACAGGAAGAAATAAAAAGGTGGAAAAATCGCATTTATGCACGCAGACAAGAATTTTGCCAGCTCATTGCTGTAGGTATTGGAACATAGCAAGCAATGGAAGGGCTAAGAGTTTGAAACATTTTTTGGACAGCGCCATGGCAAAAAAAAACCTTGAGCAATTTTTGTTGATTCAACAATTTTGGTTAATGGGTACCACATCTATTCCACAGCCTGTAATTACAACAGCTCAGTTTCCAATCTGTGCTTCGCATGCTGGGATGCCTCGCAAGTCTTCCTTGTGGTCGCCAATTTTCCGCCATTTCTCAGGCCCATCCCCTGCCCGAATCGTAAGAGCATGTTGGAGAACATGTAGGGAGGAGGCAGCCCTCACAATAAGACAGGTGACCTAAGTGATGTCATTGAATCGTCGCTCCACCCTGCATCACTACACCCATTGAAGACAAGGATTTTGGGAAAAAGGTTTAAGGCCCTCTGTCTCTTAACATCTCAGAGACAGAGGGCATATTTGTCTGTTTTGTTCCACTCCCAGTCCCAGGTTTGAATGTCAGCCTACGCTTGAAAGGGTGGCAGTCTCTAGCACGCAGAGACGAGAAAACAGACCATTCCCTTTCCGAGTATGTCCCTGCAATCTACATTAGATCTGTGCCATGTCTGGGAGGTGTCCTGGGACTCACTGAAATTACAACTCACATTATCAAAACAGTGGATATATTTAAAGCAATTCACTACAGATCAATCTAATAACCAAACATAAGTTGGCTGAGTGTCAATCACTGTACATGACAATGACAGCGTTGGAAGAAAATCACAGAATTTGCAACTTTAATCTCATTTTCGTTAGCGTGTCAGAATATTCACTGCAATCACCCGAGTCTTATTTTCTTGTTTGAAACGGACCAACAGAGTCATTCAGGAGAGCAGGCTATGACAAAAATGTCAATGACACTTTTGTGCTACCAAATATTGGTAGGCATCATGACTGAAAAATTAAATCACTATTGGTAACCCATCCTTAAAATGTTTGCTCTGTGCTTTAGTTAAAGCCATGCTTGCAATTGCTGGATCCAGAGCAGGTCTGGTTCCGGATTGGTTCAATAACTGCACTCATTAAGCTCAGACACTAATCTAATAACCTCTCATTAAACTTTTAATCTTTCTTACTGCTCAATAAAGCAACAGCTGTAGATCTGTTTCATTGTTTTTAGAACAACCCATAGACAGTATAACACTACCATAACATCATCCCTTGGTTTATAAAGTCCTGTTCTGAAGCCTTGTGATAAGTTGTTTTTTTTGCCATCTTGGGTGCAAAAGACCAGATGTATTGAAAAGGAGGAGGGACTGTCTAATGACCTGTGATTGACAACTCATTAGCCAATAAACATGCAGCTTCAGATAATCCTCCACTTGAAACATAGTATGACCAAGATTTACTCAGCAATAAAATGTTTACAGATGTCACGTGACAAAAAACCCCCAAAACAAAATAAAACAAAAAACATTTTTCCCAAAGACTTGACTTGGACTTGAATTCTCTTTCCCCAACCACAGCTATATGGTGGCATTCAGATAGAATGCAGTATTTTAGGCACTTCACTACATCCATATTTTACATTATGTATGGAAAAACTATTATCAATCCAACAATAAACCTTATATGACTCCTGCTGAGTGTCTTATTTTCAGGGTAGTTTTCGGGTTTTAAAATAAATTGTCACTACCTCTTGAAAAAGTTGCATTTTTTTTTATTTCTAACAACCAACAAATCATCACAGTCAGAGGAAAAACTGAATTTCAAGTTCTTGTTATTTCTAGCCTTAATGAAAGCTAAAACATTTTGAATTTGACATTTGATCTGATGCTTAATTTGTATTCATTAAAATACCATTGCACTAGTAGCTGTTATGGCACACAGTCACGGTCAGTCACTGAACACTGAAAGACAACACACTGCTCCATAATCAATCATGCTAGCTAGTGTTTCTGATATGCATGATGTCATCTGGTAGGAAGGAGGTGCCAGCTAACAATTTCCAGGAAAAGAATGTTAAACCAATTGCAACAGAAGTATAATTTCTCTTTTGTTTTGTCATGTTTACGGCTCTACACAGCTGAGTGGTGTAAAAAGTTCTCAGCAGCTGGCAGAATCCACCATGTTTACCTTGGTAAGCCTTACAGTAGTTATAGAACTGTTATGCAAGATTTAAAGAAAGATGTAATGCTAAAGTTATTTTTTCTGTAGCTTTTCTGTCAATATTATGTAGTCTGAATCCAGCATAAGGGTGGATAAATAAAAATGTATATTTATAATTGTAATGTAAAACAAAATTATATTTATACTAACCAGCAAAAATGATTTACAATCTCAGTGTAAAACAGCGACAAATAATTATAAAGTGAGTGCGAGACAGACAGAGACTGATGGGAGGCAGCAGCTCTTGCAAGATAAAGATAGGGAGGCTATTTCTCCATGACACACGGAGAACAAGCTTATTCCTACTTGTTTAAAGCACAAAGCTGATGTTGTGAAATGAAATCCAAAGTATCTATGATGTGTCTCTAGCACACTGCCTGCTGAAAGAAAATATCTAATACATCTAAAAGAATCCATATGTCAGCATGGCACAGGACTTGTTGCACATCTTTTGGGGGGAGGGAGGGGGGAGGGGGAGGGCTTCAGCCAAAATAAACAAGCTGCTTTCTTCTGAAAACCCTTTAAAAGATTTATTTTCTTGCATGGCCACATGTCCTTATGGAAACAATTATCAGCAGGTACATTGTGTTTAAGGTATGTGGGTTTGGCAGAACACTGGCTAGACAAGTTTCTACAAGTTATTTTACAGTGATGGATAGTAAATTGAAAAGAAAAGATGGCAAGGAGTGGGCTTCAGAGAATTACTTCAGACTTGTTTGTATTACCAGCTTAACATCCAGCAGCACTTTGCACCTGAAGCCAGTAGAGAGCAAAGGTGAAGGGAAGGCGCTTATCCCTGTTCAGTTGGGGTGGAGGTCTAAAAGGCCCAGTAAATCATCATCTTCAAAGACCGGAGCTATATTTACGCTTTACTTCCACCAAACATGTCGGCCACTGACTAAGACTATGAATCACCCCCCCAGCCACCCAGCCCCCTCCCTTAAACACTTTTTAGTTGTGTGGGTGATAGGCTGATCAGCAGTGTGGTTGAGGCCAGAGGCCAACTGGAGTTTAACTTAGCTACTCCCTCGCTAACGCCGAATTGCCTCGACAGATTTAAAGCCCTTCAAAAAGCTGAAACCACAAAGTGAAGCAAAGTAGAGCGCTAAGAAGGGGACTTTTCTTTTTTCTTTCCTTACCGTATTGGTGGGGTCGTCTTGGAGAATGGCATCATAGTGCTTGTTGGCCTCATCGTACCTTCAGCATGGGAAAGTGGGGGGAAGAAAAAACATTTTATTAAAAATTAAACCAGTCAAGTAAAATTAGATGGTTTGGAAAAAAGAGTTCAAGACAATCAAATTTCTGTACACATTATGGCAGGTTTCTAGGATTACAGTGAGGCTGTACAGAAATCAGTAGTAATCTATAGAAAGAAAAACCTTCATTTAAGTTTAGGTTATTGGTCATACGGTGGCTTATATAATTTCACAATGGCTCATGACATCAATACAAATAAAATTTTCAGATTGTATTTTCATTTGATTGTGTAGAAGTTGTTTTCACCTTTAAACAAAATTAAAATGCTGCCTTTACATCTGTCTGGGTCTGCAACAGTCTTTTTCTCTCTGGGCCCACACATTACCACAAAACATGCATATGAACCTGATAGCCTGCTGCATCCCAAAGAGTGTGCTTCAGACTGTTGGACAGGGCCAACAAGAACAAATACATGAGCTATAAATACTGGATATATGGTTACAAATAAATAAAAATCTTGCAATCGGATGCATGTGCTCCTCACTTATGATGTGAAACCAGGCACCAAAGAATGTTTTTTTGCTTATAAGGAGTAATCTGCAGCACTGATGTTTTAGCAAACAACAGCATGGTTCCTTGATCACAAATGGTTCCTCCCGCAACAGACAGAAGCACCTCTGGTTCCCATTAGCAATGAGCAGCTTTACTTCCAGCACTGATGCTTCCCTCACATTCACTTTATTACTCAGCCACACTTTGGGAGATTTCAGATGGCACCAGGCAACCACTCACGAGCCACTTTGATTTGCTTTATTTATTTAGGGACCAAGCATGTGTGTGTATGTGTGGGCAAGCATATGCATGTGTGGAAGGGAAGGCCCTTACTGTTTGAAGCTGCGTCATTGAAGTGTAGCTCTGTCTGCTGCCAATTAGATCCCAGTGTGGAGTTTATTTAATCTGACAGTGCCGAAGCAATCACTCTCAATTATCACATAAACTCTGACATAACCGATAAACCAGCAATGGTAATCTGGGTGGGGAATGTGAGTGAGGTAGTAAACAGATTGAATTACCCTGACTTCAGCTCAGTACAGACTAAAATACCCCCTTGTTTATCTTCCTTCCTCAGACTCCTTGTTCTGATTGTGGTGACATTTCAATATTTACATAGCCAAGACGCTCTTAAAGCACTGAGATCAAAACAGGGAAGGCAAAGAGAGAGAGAAAAAAAAAAAGAGGCGAATAAGAAGTAACAAAATAAGGAAACAACAGCAGAATAGAAACCAGAGAGTGCTGAGAGACCCCCAGAATAACAGTGGGATCTAACCACTTCCTTCCCGGGAATCCTTACCTCAGTCTAAAGAGCCACAGGACTACCCAGCACTGAACCTTTCCCCACTCCATTCCCTTCTTTCTCCAAAAGGAATGCTGGGTGATCCAACATAAACACACATTACCCCACACACTGTACTTACATATACCCAGACCATTGTACCACTTAGGATCTGCTAACATTTTCTTGTCCCCAAGCCTCTCAAAGTACCATACATAACAGTAAGGCCGTGCTTTTTTTCTGCCTGCCCTCTCTCCCAATGCTTACCTTTCCAAAGCTTCCAGCCTCATGCCCGTTAATCGCTTCACTCTGTGGCTATCTGGAAACTGCTTCCTCAGTTCCTGTAGACAGGTCTGCAAGGATGTGGGCAGAAGGGAGACCAATTATAGATGGCAGTATTTAAACTTTATGTTACGCTGACTCTCACGCAAATACCAAAGCTTCTTTGATACAAACGGTCTGTCTTGGGACTTAACTGAACAACCAACAATACAAAGACATTCTCCCATAAGGCAAACTTCACTGTCTTAAATGAACTGTTGTTTCTCTGTTACACATCACATCACTATATTTAAAAAAAGAAAAATATATTTTTTTAAAAGTGCAGATTCTCCTACTTCCACTTTTTCTTCCTCTTCTACACAAAGTTTGAATTTGTTACAGAGAAGACAATAGTAACAATAATATTCAGCATTATCATGAATGAGATGGAAAAGTCTGCAGTGTGACCTGGATCGTATCTGCTATCCATCAGCTTAGTCTAGTCCTTCTGCTTTTTTTTTTTTTTTTTTTAAGTCTGGCAGAAGTGCTGAGAGGATAGCCAACAGACAACTAATTCTAATGATTGAGTTCAAGCCTTCTCTGTACTCGGTGAGTCACTCATTTAGCCAAAGGGAGCTGTCACATCCATACTGACTGGAGATGAACTACTTGAATTACTGCCCCCCCCCCTTCTAGTTTTCCATCAGATTTGACCATTTTCATATTTCTGAACCTAAACTCTGAATAATTACGTGACACTACGTGACAAATAAATCCTAAAGAGAAAAAAAGGTGGAACTTTGTTAGAGACGGCCAAGTTCAGTGAACACTTGAAGCGTGCATCTCCATGTATTTGTTACATCCACTAACTCCAGTTCTTATTAAACTGTTTTTCCAAAGTACAGACAAAGTAAAGACCACTTGGCCAAATAAAAATCAGATTTTCACATTTGGCAGCGCAGGTGCTGCAAAGTAGTAATGGTTGTGAGAGAGTGAAGCTTTTGGGTGTGTGAGGAAGTGCGACGAAAACTTACCAGAGCCAAGTCATCCCGACTGCAGTCCAGGGCTGCAATCATCACCTGCTCATAAATAATCCATACTGGGCAGAAAACACACAGACAAAGAAGAAAGTGTTGACGCCCTTTCCATTCCACTGTCTGTCATAACATCTAAAACTTGATATATTAAACTATACACTTGACATAGAGACTTAAGAGTCTGTCCCCAACAGCTGCATGGGATGTTTTTTCCACTTTCCACAATGAGAACCAACAGTTTATTATTATTATCATTATTAACAGAACTGTTCTGTTTCATTTAATACATCATGGAACATTTATTATTTTCCTTTTGACATACACTGAATATTACTTAAATACATCCCTGCCGTATTACTAACATCCATAAACACCCTTCTGAAAAATTTTACAGGCATACTATTGATTTGCTAGCAGTGAACTGGTCATAAAATGTATTCAATTTCAGTAGTTTTGTTTTTACATTTAAGGAAGATTCTTAGAGCAGGAACACACATGTACATTCAAATTATAAAACTTTTTTATATCAACTGGATTCAACTGGTTTCAGTTAATTCAATTTCAGTCAATTTTCAGAGTGGGCATGTTTGTTTCAAATTAATTTTTACTGTTAAAAAATGTCACTGATTTAATGTGAGATTTTGAATTAAATTTTTGTGATTTTTTTTTTTTGCTTAAGTAAGTGAGAAATGGATTATTACTTAAACAGCTTTTTTACTTTGAGCATAAAAAAGTACTTTGTACTAAATGTTACCTATGTTTATACTATACTGCATGGTTTATAACTATCACACAGACACACAACACTCCAGTGAGTTGAGTGACAACTTGGGGTTCAGTATCTAGATCAAGGACACTTCAACATGTGGAATTGACATCTGGACGGGAACTGAACTATAGATTTCCAAGTAGTGAAAAAAGCTTATATGGGGGTCAAGTGGGAATTTTCTCAGATTTGACTGTGTTAGATGGAATGATCCTAAAAATAACTTTGACTGTACAACAAATATAAATAAATAGATTTATTTAAAACGATGTTTTTATTAGTCCTAACAAGCTTTGCAGATCACTTTGAAAGCATTTATACAACCATAAACACAGGTGGAACATCTTAATATGGTTTTGTGTGAATTCATTTTTGTGTGCCTGTGGTCCTTAAGTTAGACTGTTTGAAAGTTACACTCAACCCTATAATTTGCTTTCCTCATTATGTTGAAATGGTGCCTATGGCTCAAGAGGTAGAGCAGGTCATCTACTAATCATAAGGCTAGTGATTCGATCACTAGCTGCTCAAATCTGTATTCCAAAAGCATCCTCGGGTAGAATATTGAACTCCAATTTAACAGAGTGTGAATCTGTGTGAACGCTAGATAGAAAACACATAGGCATAGAAAAAGCATTTGTGAATGGGGAAATGAGACATAAAACATTTTGAGTGCTTAAGTAAAGTAGAAAAACACTACATAAGAACCAGTCTGTTTACAGTTTCCAAATAAATTCTACTTTAATAATACAATACAAAGTGTTAGTATGGATATAATTATCTCTTGAGGCATCAGGGGAAAAAAAACAACAGTCACAATTTGGGCGGTTTAGTAAGAGTGCAGCTATATTCTGAAGAAAAAATCCTGCAAATATTACTAATATTCTTAAAAACAGTGTTGATGCATTGTGAAACTAAAGTAGTTAAACTAACAATTCTGTAGATTCCATGCTGAGATGTTTCGCTCAGGGTTGTATGACTGTTATAGCACAGACTGTAGTTTTTGTGCCAAAGCAAGTTTGATCTGCTAAATGTGGTCGGGTTAACAACATATTGTGACTGTTTTCATTACAAATACAAAGATTGTACATATCATTTTCTAAAGAAATAAGATATAAAATTATTTTGATAAATGGGTGACATTTATATAACTATACCGCTAATTCTTAAACAATCCAAACATTGCAACACTTTTCAACACCAATAAAATTATTAATGGACATTTACATAGGTGTTATAGGTGGTTATATGACAACACTTTCTGCATTTTCTTCCATGTTATATTTATTTGCTTGTGAAGCAAGTCATGCTGAGCCTCACCAACATAACACGCACTAACCCTTTAACATGTTTAACTCTGTGGTCAGCTATAAAAATATGAAATGTTTATTGACAATTTTTCTTTAAGTCAACTGTGACATTACAACATTCTATAACACATAACAGAGTGCCTGCACAAGTCAACTAATGGAAATCAGCGCAACATGTTAAGCCAGCAGCTTTGATAAGTAAACTAGACATGTTCAGCCAAATGAAATACACCCAGCCTCCACCCAAAAGGTTTTATGCCAAAACAAACAAATGTCCTTAGTTTTTCTTCACTTTAATGATTCCAACTCGTGTTTTGATAATTGCCATCTCATTTCACAGCCAATTTAGGAGTTGGTTTCAATAAAAGCATAGCATGTCAAGTGTGCGTCCGATTCTTTTAAGGGGTTTGTAAATCATTATGATTTGAGGAAAAGGGAGAGTTTTATGAAGTAGTGCAGCAGGGCAGCTAAAACAATAAATAAAATCTGCAGGAATAACAATATGGTGTGCACCGTGAAAGGTAACTGAATACACTCCTTATTCTTTTTTTCTTTACACTATTAAACTGTGTAGGGCTGTATTCCTGCTCACTGTATTTCTGGAAAATAATCATGTTTCAGTGTTTTTCCTGACAATCTACCAATTTAATTTCTGTATCGACGTTTACTCATCAAACCAAAGACATTAAAATATGAACTTGTTTCCGTTCACCCTTTTTCATTTTAAGCATTATCACCTGTCCAGACTTGTATTCTCAGAACTGTCTTTGCTTATCTGCATGGTCCACATCACAGTAAGCTCAAGATCATGTCCAGAAATTAACAAGTCCACAACGTTTTGGTCACTACAAAGTATAAATCCTAAACTATTGCCTAAATACTGCAATTTTGAAGGTCGCCACTAGTGAAAAGGAACAAACAACTCACTGTTTTATTACAAGTATCAAGTTTTTCCTGTTGTTTTGAATTTGTCATACAAAGACAAAATTTTCTCTGCTTTTATGTTTAGTTACCTGTTTTAATACTACCAAATAATATAATATAATCAGTATTCTTAGGTGTAACGCTCCACCTAACCATACACACAAAAAACATGTCTATAGTGACATAAGATGGCAATCTTCAGATTTATTCAGCCTTGACACACTTACTGTCATCTCCCAGTTTAGATGCATGTTCACTGATGAGTTCTTCACCAACATCCACAATCTGTTCACTGTTTCTGCAGTTATCTTCTCTCCATTTCCGCAGCTTATCTCTCATCTCTTTGGACAGAGACAATGGAAAATAAGGACAACTGCAAACTGAGATAATTAACAGATTGCAACACAATTCACTATTTCAAGACCTTCACTTCTGTAGCACTCTAACACACGATTGTCAAGTGTGAGCGACATACAGCTTTTCGAAATCACACTTTATTACCTATAAATGCACTCAAACCTGTCCGGCATTTGAACCGGTGTGGCTGAAGAGATTTACGATATTAGGACCATTACACACACCAAACTTCATATACTATGCATGTATTTAGCTCAACAGATTTGACAGCATGACACGAAAATGTTCAAGCAACTAGGAGACGTTATGAATGCACACAAGTGCAGGCGGAGAAAAGGCAGCATCAACATCAGTGCTGTACTGCGTTACTGTCGCCGTGTTCCAGCTCTTTTACAGGACCCGACACCTGCGTAGTCTGTGGTGGCTACCGTTAGCCGCTGCATTAGGCTAACCCGGGCTAAATGATAACAAGCCCTGTGTCTTTTCTTCAAAGAGACAAACGTCGGTTTCCACTGCACACTCCCGGTGCTTTCACGCCATCATTACGCTGAAGCTAGGAACAATGACGCGGTTACTGACTACTGCGAACATAAAACTGACTGGGTAGCACACTTTGCTAACTATGTTTAGCTAACCACTTTAAAGGGTAGCTTGAGAGCTCGTATATTAAGTCTGGAACAGCGACGACTCCACGTCATGTCAGTGCGCAAGATAACGCCAGAAGCTTTCAAAAAGTAAGAACACGTGCCTGTGTGACACTTGAAGAGTAGCTATTTTATATTTAATCTTACCTTCCCATCCTACATCGTACATTTCTGCTACCGACGCCATCTTTTCCTTTGTGATAACGTACGCCGTGCTTACGTCATGGACATGCCTGCTGCGATTATGCATTATTATTATTAAGTCCAAGTCTTTCATAACGCTTGAGATGTGCTATAATTCATCCAAACAGCTTACGTATTTTTTATTCATACAATAAAAAAGCCTTAGTGGTTTTGTCTAGACTTGCATTGCAATATTCAGCAATACATCCCAAAATAAATAGCAGGTACAGAAGGCATTTACAATCCAGATGATGTCGTTTTCGCGCTCCATTGCCGTTTTTATATTTCCCTTTTAAGTATTGGGTAGGATAATCGGCATCTCGGTTTCCTCTGAAAATATGAAATGTGCTTTCCAAGCAAATCTACCGTTTTATTCTGATTTCCCTCAGGAGCCTCTGTGAATCTCATCCCCTCGCTGTGGATGCTTGCTCGCACACTTCTCTCTTACCACATTACACACTTCTTGATGTGGACTCAGCACAAACTTGCTTACAGAGACATTTCAGAGATTTGATGTCATATCCAGTGCTGCTCACTGACCATAGCCTAGTGCTATGCATACTTTGCCGATGCTCTAACGGTGAGAGGGCAACATGATTATTTGTCCAGGACACTGATATGATTAAAAAAAAAACAGTCTGGCTTCACCAGTATAGGGCAACAATGAAATGTCATCATGCCTGTCAGAGACACAATTAATAACATTGTATGTACAGTTTAAATTACACTCAGCTCTAACTATTTGTGCACTTGTAATTTTCAAGTCTGCACATGGCAGTCAGTTGATATGTGGTTGGGTTTTTGCTGGAGCACAGAATACCGAAACAGCCACATTAAAACAGTTACACACGCTCCTCTGGGGTGGAAGCCTTCCCCCGTCTGCCAAAGTGTCACTGAGGGCCAGGGCCCTAATGGTGACCTACAATAAACACCATGTGGCGGGCGTAACTCTTGGGACTTTCAGGACATGATGGTAAAAGCACTCTGTGAACAAGCCGTCCATAACTTTGAGATGCAGCTGGATGTGGTGATGGTAAAAAAAAAAAGAAGAAAAAAAAAGCCTCTTGACATAAGGCGTCTGTTTAACTTGGAGCAGCTCTCCTGTACAGAAATGTCACAATACAGGAGATCAGTTGCAGCAAATTGTGCTACTTGACTGTGCTTACGTAGGTTTCCATGCTCTGTCCCACATAAGGCAAACGGGACAAGACTATATATATTTTCCTTTTCAGTCTCCGTGTATAAAGAAGAAGAAGAAGAAGAAGAAGAAGAAGAAGGAAGAAATATTCCAGTAGAAACACTTCACAGGCATTATATTTTGATTTCTGACAGAAGCAATCAGAGTTGGCAATCTCTAAAATGAACAGTTACGACCTAAAAATTGAGGTAACGTTGAGGTGCTCTCTGCGGTTTTGAAATAGTCCCTGTTCCATCTAGGTTTCTCTTTCGCTGCTGTTGTACAGTGAGATGCGGAAAATGAAGACAGATGCAATTAGCAGCAATGTTTGGACTCAGTCTTCTGGAGCCGGCGGCACTGTATTTACTTTGAAATCTGATTAGGTCTCCTGTCTGACCAAGTTGACTTCACCTCACACCGAATAACTCTGTACAGATGACTTCAGCACGCCTTGCATCTGATGGACTCCCTCTATTGCACCTTTGACCTCACCCATATGACTGAGAGGCCCTGGGCGGGAAATTATGGCACATCACAATTAGGCTTGCTCACTGTCTTGCTCTTCTCCCTCTTGCCTTCGATGCCAAAAACAATATTCAGTCTCATGTCAGAGCAGCACTGCACTGGTAATTGACGGTGCTCACATAGCACGGGCCTTAAGATGTATTGCTCCCCTGACACCTTGTGTAGTAGCCTGATTGCTCATTGTGGATTGGAGTATTACCACATGTAGTATATTATGTATTGCTGGATTGGTTTAACAGCCAATCATCCTTTCTTGCTAAATCCAAACAGGGATTTCACATTACTGTGCGTGAGATTACCTCCAGCAGACTTCAGCTCAGTCTGCAGGTGATTTCTACAAACCCTTGACAGTTCCATCTATTCACTTCCAAATGAGCATGTAGCTCCACTCCTCCTGAAATGTGTAATAATAATAATGAAAGAAGTCATATTGGAAGACTTTATATTTGAGTTTAAGCTTACATAACCCTCGGGCAGTCTTATTAAAGAGAATGTTTGATCTCTAAGAGAGCATTTGGCAGTGGCATGACAATTTTGACACCTCCGAGCCAAATATTGAAAATGTCTTCTCAGTCCAATCCAAGAATCACATCATCTTCACTCTAAGTCTCAGCAGCTGGTGGAGCTCATCCATTCCAGCAGCATTTTCTTTTCTTTTTTTGTGTGTGTGGGTAGAATTTGAAATATAAAGCACTTCTACGACTTCCCAGGGGGTATGAGTTGAGGTCTGCCAATCATGGAAGGCACGGGTATTGTTCACCAGTATTACTTTTTTTCCATGGCTGCAAGAGATTTTTTTTGTCTAGTGCACACATACACACGATAGCAGTTATTACAGAATTTCAAATCCACGGAAAAAAAAAAAAATTCAAATTGCCCAAGTGCAGCACATGCCTGTAACTTTACAACATAATCTGGAGTTATCAGATTTCCCTTTTTCTCTTTCTGGTAAGAATAATCATGGCCGCAAATTTGGAGATAGTGCCACATTCTCTCTAATGTCATGTTTTCAAAGAAAATTACAGAGAGGAAAAGTGAAGCTGTGCATAACAAAAGGAGCAAACATGGAAACAGTGCTTGTTGAGGAAGGATTAGATGGGTCAAAAACTGATCAGCTCCCTTGTGTATCCTCTGTGTTATTGCTGATGTGTTTTGAAGACAAATCAAGGTGACTTGTGCAGTTGCACAGATGTTCTGCCCGGTGCCACTGGGTGCACACTGGGAGTTTGTATCGTTTTCTGGCCCATGGGCCTGGTCGATAACCTTCATCTCGTTTCCATAGAGTGTGACGGTGCTGAAGTCAGCACTGGGCCCTGAATCAGGAGTGTGGGCTGCTGATTTATAACCTGACACGCAAACAGAGCGAGGTGATGCATATTTAAAAAGTTTACAAAAAGAATCATTGAAATTCATATGAGATGCCGGAATTCAGATTCAGCTCAGGGATGCTTGGCTTTGCAACCTCCAGCACCGAGTCATTTGTCTTCAGATCTTATTGATTTATATTTTGACAGATATTAGACTGAGGCCAGTGGTGGGTGTCTTTGGCACTGTCATCTCCTCTCCCACTCTTGGATTCATTTGTTGACCAAGAAAGCTTTCAGGGAACCAAAGAGCTGAGGTTTTTCATGGAATATTTGGCCCATCTCTCCAGCGCCCTTTGAGTTTATCCCATTAAGGCCGAAAAGTATTTTCTGCAAGACAAACATGTAGAGTGATAGATAGCTCGTGTGCATGCTGAAATGTGTTGCTGTTCCTGACAACATCCCAGTATTGAATCTGGATGTTACGTGTGGTCAAACCCGTCACTGCCTGCAACTGCTTCATCCTACAAAAACACACATGCTTTGATTTACAGAGGCATAAATGGTGGATGACTGTTTATATTTACTCCACATTTTATGGGCTTTGTTTAAAGTTTTGATAATCCTTTGAGCCCAGACCTCTTCATTCACTACCCCTGGTTGTGTACCATTGAGACCTGACAGGAGAAAATCATTAGTTACTCTGTTGGGTGGGGTGACCGTGAAGCACCTTGGCAGAAGGAGAAGGCAAAGCTGAAGAAACATTGGCAGGACATAGTTAAGTTAGATAGCAGACCACCATGAAATATATCCACACAGAGGATCGGAATTAAATCTGAGAGACAACTATCACAGTAGGACTGGGTGCAAAAACAATTAACAAACCTCAACCTCAGAAAAGAAATCCTTTCCATTTGTTAATAACAATGAGGGGAATGACACATTTCTAACTTTGTAATTAGTATTTGTGACCTTTTTCCTGAAAATAAATAAATAAATTGCACTGTTTTTTAATTTTAAAACCATAAATTGAACAAAGGTGGTGGATGTAGCAAAAATGATAGAAATTAAAACTCATAAACGTAAATTCATATATTTATTTATTCATCAGAAAGATCAATAAACACACTAAAGGTTAAAAATGATTCGATTTTTTCTTGGTAATTATTTCATGGTTCAGGCTTTACAGATTCAGGCTAATATCTGTTTGGTAAATATGACGCTACGGCCAACTGCCTGCTAGGTTAGCTCTGGCTGATGATTGGAAAAAACAGGGAAACGCCTAGCCAACCCAGCCTCTGTGCCAAGGTAATAAAATCTTCCTACTGGAGCTGCTAAATTCCCACCAATAAACACAACGTATCTTATTTCTTCAGTTCATACAGAGCTCAAGTGTAAAACTCTAGTTTTCA